TGCTGAGTTACATTTAATAATATTATAATAGTGTTATTTTTACAATATATTCATTGAAAATACGTTTATTTTGAACTTCAAAAGTCTGTGTACATTTTTATTGGGACAATCGCTTCCAACTATTCCCATAATACAAAGTGTTGTGACGTCACAGCAAATTCTGGCATGCAACGACTGATTATTTTGTAAACATTGGATACAATTCATTATTATGAGCGTGTAACAAAAGCAGAGGGTATAAAAATATTTTTACGCTTATAATTTCAATTATTGTATATCGTGTACAGTACTTATTTTCATTCACAGTACGTCATCTGTGAAATCGTCGCAGTTAGGCGAGGAGTAATTTTTATGCAGTAAATACACCCATGAATTGGATCGCACGTAGGTTAATTTTACAGCAATTGTCCAAAGTCACGCGATTTGTTTGATTTTCATAATGGTGAAAGGATTCCGATCATTAACAGCACCGTCGACTAAAATACTTATGGTAGTTCTGACAGTGTTGTTTATTATTATTGGAATATATTTATTAACAGGACCGAAAGGTGAGTCCCACCATATGTATTCATTGTTTAGTTTTTCATGTCATTGCAAGCACGACAATTTTAACAAAAACATATAAGGAATATCTTATAAGTGACACTACAAATCGTTTACAGTAACATAATTACTAATTTTGAACTAAATTGACATCTGGACCTTTTCACAATCTGTAAATTATCACGACACAATAATGACAAACATTAACGTGCATGGAGAATCTGAAGTTGGGAGAATTTAAAATGATGTATCAATTGTATACATTTTTATATCACGCATGCTTTTAGCTGACATATGGAACTGCAAGTAATGTCCGAATTAATATAATTCTTAATAACAGTTCATGAAATATTGCGTAAAAGTACCAACGTATTGAGGTATTGGGATATGTTGTTTTAGTCAGCCATACTGTCAAAATTTGGCGTACTGTCTATGAATGCATACTTTGAGACAACCTCGTAATAACCTTAATATTTTACATCTTTTCCCTTCAAAGATACACCATTGGGAATGCCGAAATCCAAAATGTTTAGAACAGAATCAGCGAATGTCTTTGTATGGAGTCTGGTCAAACTCTTGTTGCAGCCATGTTTGTGTTTATTATTAGAGGACGCTTACGCGTGTAATCATTCCATATTTGGAATTCGCATTTCTTTATATAATACCGCAAAATTACAAATGCTGTAACTTATGGCGTTACGGTGATAGATCTTTAATAATGTATTAATATAAATCTGTCACAGTAACGCCATACGTTACAGTGTGCCGTAATTTTGCGGTATTTTACGTGGTATTTTCATCCTAACATATTAGGAAATGCGAATTCTAAATATGAAATAATATAATATTCCTCTAATAATAAAAACAAACATGGCTGCCACCAGAGTTTGACCGGACTTCACACAAGAAAGTTCGCTGATTCTGTTCTAAACTTTTTGTATTTGGCATTCCCATGGTGTTTCCTTGGAAGGAAAAGATGTATAACAATAACTTTATTACTTTGTTTGAGTATAAAATTATACAGTCAGGACTTTTCGTTAAATGCCTTATTTGTAATGATAACACTTTTGTTTGATGGAGTTACTTGTGATTAAAATGGCGTCAATATTCAAAATAACCGATCTCTTTGTTTTAGGAAATCCAGAAAACGATACTTTTCCAACAGTCACGTATGTCTCACACTTTTTGAATGAGTTTGTACAAAATGCCACTATATATAATAACGAGGAATTTCAATCAGACGAAATCGACGAAATTGATCACGTTTCCCAAGTAAACCTCAACCAAATTCAAGAATATAGAAAATCTGTGATAAGAAGGGAATGTACCGATGCTAGACGTAGCGGTGTTAAATTCCAAATGGGTGGAAAATCGTCAATTTACAATGACGACTATAAGATTATATTTTCCGCTCTTCCAAAAATTGCCTCTACAACCTGGAAACGTGTATTTCTCGTTTTACAGGGAGATGTGAATTCCATGGATTCGTTATATCACAAGGACGTACAGCATAAATATCACTACCCGCGGTTGTCTTCACTGTCGATGTCCGAGGTAAACATCAGAATGAAGACATACACAAAAGTAGTATTTGTGAGAGAACCATTTCATAGGATATTATCCGCTTACCGAAACAAATTGGAGAGCGACGACGATATTATCTACAGAAAAAGATATGGCACAACCATCATTGCAAAATATAGGGAAAACCCGTCTTCGTTTTCATTGAGAACTGGCTCCGATGTTACATTTCTTGAGTTTGTTAAATACCTAATAGATCCTGACACCAGTTTGTGGAAAATGGATATGCATTGGGCTCCTATGTTTCTACTCGCTGACGTGTGCAATGTGAATTACGATATTATTGGCAAGTTTGAAGAATTGCAAGATGACGCCCTCTACGTTTTAGAAAAGATTAATGCTACCGACTTGGTAAAGTTTCCAACTTATGACACTCAAGCGACAAACAGTTCACGCGACTACACATATTTTTACTACTACTCAACTGTTCCCGAGGAACTACTTTCTCGTTTATATGACAAATATATACTTGATTTTAAACTTTTTGATTATGATAAGCCGCTTATACTCAAACCAAGTAAATGAATTAAATCTGTGAAGTAATAAAACAAGTACACGAATAAGTTTGTGTCAATGTCTGCGAAGTGATAATAGCAGTAGCAAGGACATCGCAAGTCTGGGTTAAAGTGTATGACATAATTGCTGGAATAATGGAGCTAATAAGTTACCATAGTTGCAATACTCTTAAAGATTTATACAAAAACATTGTCATGCTGCTATTCAATACTTGAAACTTTCACAACTCTCCTTCTGTGCTTGGTTGCTTAGACAAATTACATCATTATACTTATATATGCATATACTTAGTATGCTGAAATGTTATTTATAGTGACTCGGGAAACTGAATAAACACATTGCAAATATGTATAAACATATATTCATGATGTGACCGATATGCGGATGTATTATGATCCTTGGAAAGCACGGTTGATTTCGGCTCTTCCTCGGTAACTAATGCTCTCTTCGAGTTAGGGAATATATAAGAAGAAATTAACTGAAGTCAGTTGTATAACATTGCATCTGCTGCGGTCTATTTGATGACAATCTATTCAGACAACTTGGAAGAAACGCTAGATTCAAATGTGTTAATTTAAATACTAACTTATGGTCGCAAAAACTCCGTTAGGGTCATATATGACAGCCCTCTGGACTTTATAACGCCCTTTTACAACTCTCCTTCTGTGCTTGGTTGCTTAGACAAATTACATCATTATACTTATATATGCATATACTTAGTATGCTGAAATGTTATTTATAGTAACTCGGAAAACTGAATAAACACATTGCAAATATGTATAAACATATATTCATGATGTGACCGATATGCGGATGTATTATGATCCTTGGAAAGCACGGTTGATTTCGGCTCTTCCTCGGTAACTAATGCTCTCTTCGAGTTAGGGAATATATAAGAAGAAATTAACTGAAGTCAGTTGTATAACATTGCATCTGCTGCGGTATATTTGATGACAATCTATTCAGACAACTTGGAAGAAATGCTAGATTCAAATGTGTTAATTTAAATACTAACTTATGGTCGCAAAAACTCCCTTAAGGTCATATATGACAGCTCTCTGGACTTTATAACTCCCTTTCCAGGTAATACCATGTATATGATATTTGAAATGGATTGCATTTTACATTTCAATACAGGGAGCAAAATTTACAGCTGAAATCATGGTAATATCTTCTCAACCTTATTGAGCACTCAATGTTTAGTTAGGACTGGTAACTGGTGAATGTCACATTCGGTGATTTTCAATTATTGGCCATTGGAATTGGTTTAGTTGTACATAGATTAGATAGGTGTTTATTTCATAAAAAATGTAAGTCATAACAACACACACAAAATATAGAAAAAATGTACAAATAGAATATGGTCGTAGTTGCGATTAGCTGGCGACTTTTAATCAAATGTACCAAATGTTCACTTAGGAATAAATGTGGAAAATGGATGAACAATACACATATGACCAGCTAATATCATAAACAAGAAATTCTGAACTTTTGAGCGAAAACGTTGCATCAGTTATCATTAGTTGTATTGCGTCATTGACAACATTGATAATTATGTCTAAGGTTTGGCTGTATCCATATATAGTGGTAAAGCAAAAATGTATGGTTTCTTGAGTACATTGTCAAATAATCAAAGTATTGTTTAGTATGTTTGAATGACATATCTGTCAAAATGTATTAATAATTTTTTCACCTGTGATTGGACGAAAGTAAAGTTTTTATCAGCGGTACCACAATGAAACTAACCACTGAATCGTAATCTAATATGCCCGCAGCGAATGTTTGCAAATGATTTCCTTCTCATTTTCATCCTGCATATGTTTATTTCATTAAATAACGTAATATGTAAATAATGAATTTCAAACAAACTATATATTATTACACCACGAATGAAATGCACAAGTCGAAACACGAAATACAGTTTTAGAGTCATTAGTAATATATATATGGATGAAAAGCAATATATTTTCGTAGGTAAACATTCGATTTATAGTACTATGTACGCATTGAAATGTGTAGTCGCCTGGTACAAATGTATGTAAATATGAGTCGTTGACGGCGTACGTAATGTACAAACGAGCCTCCGGTTTCACTGACGATATCGAACAACATATCACATCAATTTGCATAACACTAGACGTCTAGTTTCGTTGCTGCATTGAATAGTGACATAAAATTGAAAAACGGTCGGAATTAATAATCACAGGTATAAAGTGAAGTGACGTTTAGCGAACTTCTTACACGGGACCTTGTCTTAGTAATAAACCGACGTTAGCTCTACGTTCATGTCCTACCATGGCAACAGCAGAAAACATGTTGTTTTTTTAGCGGAGCGGATCGTCAGCCAGCCTACCGGCTTGTATGTATATTAGTTTGTATATTAGTCATCTATGTGTGCATTATCATGGTCTAATGTATTAACGTTATGGACACTTGATCTTATTTAAAAAAATTTATACCAATTTAGTACATTAGTTTCACCAAATGAACTCTTTAATGGAAACACGTGGATATCCTCCGGTTTATATGTGATTGTTGCCTTGTTATAATTACGTCATACAGAAGGTACTCAATAGAATGACAATTTATGAATTTAGATAAATTGAATTTGTTAAGAATATAATAAATTATTAATAAATAGGTCAAACAAGAGTAATATTAAATTATTCATTATCATTTTTGGATATGATGTTTAATACAATCATGAACGGATTTAAAAACCATCCTCTTTAAATAGAAAAAAAGAACAATGTTTTAACATGTTGCCGTATGAGGCGCACTTATGTGCGACGCAGGTCTCAAACTGATGCGTGCGATGATTAAAAGGAAAACACTTTGCCTTATATGAGACATCTGAAAAGTAAAAGTACAACCTATGCACATACTGGAGAGTTTGCATGGGTCACCGATCTAGACACTACAACACTGACAAAAGTTTTCTAAGAAAATGTAGCATGAATTAAATAATTTTTAATGTGATGGTGTATTAAGATGGAAAGGTAGGTAAAGTATATACGCTGCAATAAAAAAACCAAACATGAAACAGACTTAAGTTATTGCCACAAACCGACCGATGAAGCCATGAACCCTTCATGAAACAAAATCACCACGGAACCACGGCTAAATAAGTTATAGTCTGAAGGATAATTTACATAAAGAAGCCTTACCATAGAAACATCACTGGTGGAAATAAAAAAAAACGATCAGGTCAAGTTGAAATGATATACAAAACACAAATCGAATATCGAATCGAAATGAGAATCTTAGTAAAAACAATTAAAAACAGTTAATGTTAATGGGATAGACGGGAAACAACGGCGAAAATGGATTTTAAAAATAGAAACGATTTAGTAAAAACAAAAAACGGATTTAAAAAATAGATTTTAAAAATAAAAATGGATTTTAAAAATGAAATTGGATTTTGAAATAAAAAATGAATTTTAAAAACAGAAATGGATTTTAAAAATGAAATTGGATTTTAAAAACGAAAATGGATTTTGAAATCAAAAATGGATTTTGATAATAAAAACGAATTTAAAAAATGAAAATGAATTTTTGTAAAAAAATGGAAAATTTAACAAAAATAGATTTAAACAATTGTTTTTTAAAATGAAAATCAGAAACGTAAGTGGATTTTAAAATCGTTTTCAGAACTGAAAATGGTTATTAAAAAGGAATTATAAAATAAAAATGAATTGTAAAAATGGTTTTATAAAATGTCATGTTGTGAGCCACACCGGTTGCCGTCGACGAACCTTTGTCAGGGGTGATACTAGTAATTAAACTGCCGCCATTGTTACCAATAAACATGTGTTCTCTAATCACTAATGTGTTTTCCTTGTGAAACAAATGTATGTGTGATACAATTTAATTGATTTAGGTTGCATAATACCGTTATAATTAAACCAGAATTAACCCAGATATGACCCCAAAAGCCGTATATTCACGAATCTTACTTCCCTATACATTTCTTTACAAAAGTTGAAGAGCAATTTCCAATAAACCACCCGTGTGTTGATAGTGCGTAAAATATAGACAGTGTTGTGCTCTGCCATGTTTTTCAAAACTTAACGATTGAATTAATGTCAGAAAGTACGTACAACTAAAACTAATTAAAAAAATAAAACAGACGAACACAAATAATGGTACGCACAACACAACAATTTGCATCTAAATTGTTATATCAGCGTACAATCGATCGTTATTTGGATATTAAAATGGAAGAGAAAGACAAATCGTGTGTAATGACTTGTTGATAGGGAGCACTAAACTACACGGATGACAGATGATAACATCTTATTTATACTGCTAATTAATGTGGCACATACTAACGAGTCACTAACGCATTTCTGTGTATGTCATGATTCTTGCGGTATACCCACCTGGGGCTGTGGTTGATTTTTTCATTAAAGGAATTTATATAATTTATATTTTTAGGTGGTTTAATCATATCAAAGATGTTGATACGTGGGTGTCATGGTTCGATGTCATGTAGTCTAATCTCAACATCTCCACGTGACACTTGGACAAGCACCTTTATAGTAATCTGATCACGGATGAAATAATAAGATGTTGATATGTTACCCCTACTAATACGTTTCCCAATATTGGGGATTATGCAATTACACACACTCTTAAAAACCATAATCTTATCACAGACGGTTCGACATGATTAAGGAAACACGTCGTTTAACTCTGTAGGTTACGTAAGGTTACTTGCATATATCCTTATACTACCAGCTGCTGATATATGATTAACATATATTATTAATTAGCTAACTAACGCCAGATATTATATATGATAATGTACATTTAATTCCACTTTGCCTATTTCTCTATGCAATATAAGTCATTGCGTATCCAGGCTGGGTGTATGTTTACGTTTGTTCCATGCGTTGGTTCTGTTGTGTGTATATATAAATACTTGTCTGGTATCGTTTTTAAACTATTTATCAACGCTATATAAATTGAACGGTACTTTTATTTAATTTATTTGCATGGATTGCAAAGTTTAAGATATTTATTTTTTTCACAGCATAATTGAAAGTAGTTACTTGTATTGATTGCCAGTGTTTCTAGCTGCAAAATATAATATCATCTACGAATGTATAAACTAGAAATACATTATGAGAAATAATTAACCATGATTATTATTAAACCCCCACCATATTTTGTCCTATGGGGTGGGATATCTTCATAGTAATAAATTATATTGGAAAATAATTCTACACTTGGTAATTTCCAAGAAAAATATTACAAGCAATGAGATGCATTTTCAGAGAGAAACCAATGTCCCCACTTGATGGCCCGTTTTATTTTGTTAGTATTGCCGGCGATGAAGTTATTTTGCAAAATGATTGGATCCGCTGCATTCTGTATAACTTTCGAGGAATACCACTGCCCAGAAACGAATTGTTTATTTGGCAAAAATCTGGTTGCTATTTCATCGTCGTTCATTACTATTCGGTAAAACATTTCTTGCGCAAAACCGTTTTTGCGGATAGCGCCTTCTTCTGTAAATTGTGACAACTTTTGGTCTAATCTTTTGGTCAGTGTGCCCCATACACGACGTGTGTTGGTAGTAGCATTAAGAAACAAAAGGCAAGTGCAAAAGCCATTGCCTCCTTCATATTTATCGCTGTTAACAATCATGTCAACGGCTTCGTCTGTTGGCTTGAACGCATGAAGTGGGTAGCTAAACCAAACAGCGTCAGATTCGGTCATTAAAACAGAGATATTATGATTCAACAATGCGTCAATTATTTGAGCTCGAAAAAGACAATATTTAAAGTAACTAACATGTCCCCAGCGCAAAGCATTTTCTGAACCGTATTGCGCAAATACAACGTTGAGTGAATGTCTCCATTTAAATAGCTCGTCATACGTTGTCTGATCAGTAGCAATGAACACCACTCGCTGCATTACATCATCAAACTGTTCAAGATTACAAATCCAACTTTTAGTCATATTTATATATGCATAGTTTAGTAATTGTACAATGACAAATCCATAGCGACGTTGTATATCGGCGCAAACTCTTATTAAGTTTGATGTCAGGTAGTCGCTTTGATTTATCGCAATTTTTCCATTTGTAGTATATTTACGGCGTTTTGTATTTGGTCCAATCCAATCTTGACCTTCCTTGGCACTGGGGTCGTCTTCATAACGGACCATTTTTTCTTCAGCTTCTTGGTTCAGACACAATTTCTGTACTATCAACACTGTCAGTAACATACTCACTGCAATTGTCATCCATCTATACGTTGTCTGATTGAAGTTGAACATGATAATGTTGGTCATACACCAGCTGTCTTTATATCTTACGTCACTCTGTAAAATAATGATATGCACTGATGAAGACTGACTTACTAAACAAGACACTCTCCTGCTCTCTCTTCCATGTGCCAGCATGAAGCAGTTTGCAGGTGGCAATGGTATTCACTGTAGTATGTGTGTGTTTGAAAAAAGCTAGTGTCTCAAATTTGAAACACATTTTACCCCAATATCATCTACTGAGTATGTATAAATGTGCCGCCTTCTTACAATACACGCCATTTTGAGATTAAATGACAATGTCACAATGTTTCGACTGTGCAACAATATAATCTAAAGTGTTGATTTTAGGTCAAAAAATGGGAAATACACTGCTATTTGTAAGCAAAATATGTAAAAATCCAACAAATTGGTTACCCCTATGATAATATAATACCATTTTTCTTTCAGTCCAGCCACCCCACATGCCTACGCTTTCAGATATTTGTTTTTCTATATTTTACATCCACACACTAGCTGAACATTAGTGGCCTTTATTGAACCAATAATTACACTAGCAAACATTGGGTTCTACAGTTCAAAGAAAAAAACCAAAATCACACTTCGAATTTTAGTGTTTTGGATGATGTAAATATTTAAATATATTTTTAAAGAATTCACATTGTTTATTAGAAGAATATATCCTACCACTATGCTAACGAGTTTCCACATATATGGTCCCTCAAGGTTTTTATCATATTTACAAAGTTGTTCATTAACAGGCAAGCAAAATACAACGTCTGTGGTTGTCAAATGTGCTGTCAGCTGATACGCCAACTTCAAATATTATCAGTGCTTGATTTTCCCAACCATTTTTTTAATGATTTATAAGCAATGTAATGCATAGACCAAGCCAAAATAAAGTATGTGCCCCTATCATCTGTCAAATACATAATATGTTATGTTTAAATCGCGTTAAGTGACCTGACTGACCTCGTGGCTGTCTACGGGTGCTAAATTTGGTTGTGAGCTAGTCTTCGTCGTGGCCACGATTGTCATTCCTTTTATGGAATGACCGTTTTTCAATTCTGTATTGACACCAACATTGTATCCAAAAACTCAGTTCATAGCTTGATTTCACTTAAAATAATTTATTTGATAAAGAACAATTTGTTCTCGAGCAATAAATATATAAAACCAGCATGACTATTCTACAAATAAGGTTTTTTATTCATAGAACCACCTTGTTATTTATTAACAATAACTTAACTTGTGACAATTGAATACTATTACTTTCACTGAGTCTAAAATACAATACCTCTTTACGAGCAGAAAAAAAAATATAAAGGATAAAAAACAATAAAGACAAAAACAATAAAGGAACAAAAATAAAGTAAAAAAAACAATATAAGAAAAAAAACAATAAAGGGAAAAAAACAATAAAGAAAAAACAATATACATGCACATTGAAATTACACAACCAACAATAGGTGCGAGTTACTCAATACACAGAACAAGGATTGTAACATTTTTGAGAATAACTGATCCCATTTTGCTTCACGTGTGATAGCCACTACATAATCGGACAAGGTATTGTAATACGTGTATAGGACATCAAATATACAAATGCTACGCGTGATGAAACCTTGCTCACGTTGATCTCACAGTTAAAATAAACCATGCAATGTCATGAAGCCGAGATTGTACTTCTTTATGTACGTCTGGTATTTTGATCAACGCGACATCAAATGATCGTGAAATTATAAATGACGGTGAATTGATGTTACTTATATGAAATGGGAACTGGCGTTTGCATTTGTCTTTTGTTTCTTAATGATACGACCAACACACGTCGTGTATGGGGCACACTTACCGAAAGGTCATATTAAAAGTTGTTATAATGGCACTGTGAGTCATTCCTGCATCGCATGTACAATTGAGTTAGTCCAGTGAATGTCTAATAAACACATTTAAAGGTAAGTATTTACCAAAGTGAATCGCTATTTTAAGAAAGTTAGTAGTTAATTTGGTCTCGAAGAATATTCGCCGAGATAGATATGCGAAAAAAATGATTATGAAATCGCTACAAACCTTACACTCGCAGTGAAATTGTGAATATAGCAGGTTACTCCACTTTAGCCGTCTATGACCATGTGACAGTGGCAACTGCCTGTCAATAGAGTGTGCTCTTACGTACATCGACGTTGAGAGTGAGCATTCATTTAGTGGTTGTGAATTATTGTGAGTTATAACTGGAGATGTTAGACTGAGTGAACTGTTTGGTGATTATGGGTTGTAGACTGTCTTGCTTCAACTACGCCATCAATAATTTGAACAAATTATTAACATTTAGGCCTAAATGGATTTTTTTTTCTCGCGTTCCATCAGAAAAAAAAATCGACTCAGTGATGCGGTTTTTCTTTGTAATAAAATTAATCAATATTTCAATAACCTGTCAACAGTTCAATGTTTAATGTGTTCTTTCGAAACAAGCATTAGAAGGGAAGAGGGTTAAAAAAACATTGATTGAAACAGAAGACGAAAAAATCATGTTTTTCCGTATGTTGCACAATTCCTTTTATTTCACAACTGCACACATATTTGTGAGGCGCAGGATTCATACCGACACTCGTGACGACTATACAAAACCTATAGCCTTACTATATACGACCTTAAATTAAAGAACGTTAAATTATGAACACGTTAGGTAGTTTTCATGGAATTACAGAATGGCTTAGTGTAGTTAATCTACCGTAGCCCGTATAGAAGTTCAATTTCTAAATCAACACAAAATTTCATTAGCTACCTTGACAAATCTTACCACAATGTATTTTTGATATGTTCTAACCTCTCCCATTACAAGCAACAATGATGCTGTGTGTATTTTTTTTAATTTTAAAATACTTCGTCGTCCTCAGATTTCGGATGATTTAACATGTACGTGAATTGTCGCCCTTTTGATAAATCAACATGTGTACATATGTGTGTTTCCATGTGAATGAATGTATCATCGTGTGATACAGTTGTATTGACTTAAATTGCATTGTCAGGGATAATACGGTTATAATTAAAACCTGAATTAACCCGGATATTACGTCAAAAACCGTGTATTCGTGAATCCTACTTCTCTTTTTTACATTTCCTCATATAAGTTGACAAACAATTCTACTCTCTGGTAATAAACCACCAGTGTGTTAATAGTGCGTAAATATAGACAGTGTTGTGGTCTGCCATGTTTTTCCACGTGAATCGAAGCTCAAAGACTGAATTTATGTCAGAAAAGATGTGCATACAACTCATAATGATTTACTGGTGCACAGCAAAGAATTTTCCCGATTAAGTTGTTTCGCAATGTAAAATCGATTGTCATTTGAATATTACTGGGCATCATCATACATGTAATACCAAAGTTAACAAAATTCAAGAATAACTAACTGGCGGTCATATTTTTCTTTGGTTTTTGACGATTCATGAATATTCATTGACTGTTCTTCGAATATGACTGTGGTTTATTACGTTGAAAAAACAATGACAAATATAAACAATTTGTGTGTAATTAAAACGAGACTACACTTATGAAAATTGACAAAATCTTATTCACTATTGGCCCACATACAAAGTCAATACCGCATGTCTGTATGTGTTGTGGTTTGTAAAACTTCGTGGTATACCCGCTTTGGGCAGTGGTTTATTTATTCATTGAGGGCATTTATAAGTGCTTCAAACATTTCAAGGGTGTTGAGACGTGGATACCATGGCTCGACCTCATGCAGTCTACTCTCAACATACCCCCATGACACTGGAATGAGTGCGCATTAACACCTGGTGCCACATCGCTGGTATTTTAACTAATCAGACAAACAAGATTTGTGGAATTCTTTATTGTATTTTTATATAGATTACAGTGTGTGATACAGTAGGCATTTCATAATAACCCCCCATGTAGTAATATAATCACTGATAAAGTAATAAGATGTTGGCATGTTACCATACTAATACGTTTTCCAGTTTTGGGGTTTATGTAGTCAATGATATTTTCTAGCCATATTTATTGGACTAGAAAGCTTTTATACTAATTGAAATGCACACGATAAATGAATGCACAAAACCCAACATATATAGATGCACAATAGTTTTAGTTTTAGGCGTTTGAGTGCATAGTGTTCAAGAAAAGTGTGTACACCGTGCCTGCTAACGTTTTTGAAAGGAAGTAATTTGCATACGAATGCCTATTTCGAAAGTAGACAAACCATGGATTCTGGATTCATGGATGATGGATTCTGAAGATCGATTACAAAAAGACAACAGAAAGCTGAACATTTACAATACGGTTTTATTTTTACTAACAGAAATTGAGTACATCTGAGTAAATAATTTCCCGTTACAAGTGAAAATATGGCACCAAACCACGAAAGTATGCACGAAGACATTACAGCGGGAGGAGGTCGATGCGACGGCGTACTGTCTGAGTGTATATATTGAGGTATTCTCGTAATAACCTTATTAATATACATCTTTTCCTTCCAAGGATACACCATTGGAATGCCGTCTTCAAAAATGTTCAGAGCAGAATCAGCGAACTTCTTTGGGTCGAGTCCTATCAGACTCGGAATTCGCATTTCCCAATATAGTAGGATGAAAATACCCCGTAAAATACCGCAAAATTACGACACGCTGTGACGTATGAGGGTACGGAGACATATGTATAATAATAATCATTAATTAATATTTGGGTAATATTTCCATGGTCAATAATTTCTAAATAACAACGAAAAGCCATGCTTAATAAAGATATTATAAACAATTAGATGTATTTTCAGAGAGAAACCAATGTCCCCACTTGATGGCCCGTTTTATTTTGTTGGTATTGCCGGAAATGAAATTATTTTGCAAAATGATGGGATCTGTTTCATTTCGTATGTCTACTGAAGAATACCACTGCCCAGTAACGAACTGTTTATTTGGCAAAAAACTGATCGTTATTTCATCATCGTTCATTGCTATTCGATAAAACATTTCCTGTGCAGAACCTT